GTGAAGGGATATGCTACACACGAGAGTTTTGCCAGCAGGAGCAGCAGCAATGACTACATTTTTGGCTACTAAAAATGTTCTACTTGCACTATGTTTATTTGTGTAAGTGTATTTTCACAGCAGACCTGGGCAACTCCAAAGGCACATTGGTTGAAAATCACTTTTCAGAAACAGTCATTTTTGGACATTTTGGAAAATGTGTAATCCACAATCAGATTGCAAGTTCAATATCAATTTTAACACCTTGGTGTCTCCAGCACTAATACAGGTCAAGCCAGGACCTAAAAACTCCAAAGCTTTATTTTGAATCTGTTTTTTAAAAGTGTAGAAATTGAGACATTGTGGCTTTAGGGACAGTTGTGTGTCTGAGCTATTTCTTGACCAACAGCTGCTAGACTGACTGCACACAGCATCTCAACAGCACTTTCCTTATAGTGGGGTTGTCTTGATTGTCTTGGTGACTAGCTTACATGGTAACAAAACAAATCATATAAATAACGCAGCTTTAAAGTAGTTGAAGGATTATGTTTGTTATTTTTTATTTTGATGGTGCTGGGCTAGGGGGAAACTTATTTATATATTTCCCAAAAGGAGTGCTACTTTAAGCAACAGAGCTAACTAACAGTACCATGTGTTGCTATTCATATACTGCATCAAGAGTATTTATATTCACTTCCCCACTATTATTTATCAAGAGTATTTCTATTACATCCTTTTGATATCAATATGCCTAATGTTCTTGCAAACTTCTGTATAAATAGACTTCATCAGTAAATCAAAGCTAATACTGTAGCTTTCTCTCAGGATGAAATAAGCCTTTAAGTTTAACCAAACTGTATGTCTTTTCTAACCTTGGACTGCCATGTGATTAGCTTTTAATGTTTTATAATTAGTAGTACCAATGGCAAAGGAGTCAGCAGGGCAGAGGTGGGGTGGGTACGCCCTTGAGAGCAGGCCTTATGAATCAACGGCTGGCGATAAATGGACTGGATCATTACTGAATCAAGTGATCTGCAGAATAATCTATTGATTTTCTGGTCTTTCTTACTTCTTTATTATTCTGTATCACAGTATTGCAACATCAGGAGGAACCCACTGATGGATGGGATGCTTGGACCTCTGCAGTGACCGTGGGGGTTTGCCTAAGAATGTAGTATATATAACGCATTCCAGGGTACTGGGCATAAAATATATACAAGGACACATAGATTTATGCTTCATAATGTGTCTTTTTTTTAATTTACCACTGACATTCTTAAATATATGCAGAGCATTAATATTTTTGCGTGAGTCATCATGTCGATGTTTGGAAGTGGTAAAAAAATTGGTGGAAGACATTGGCTGTAAACCGTCATCAGCATTAAATCCGTACACTACATAATAACATACAGCCACAGATCATAAGAAATGGGTCTGAGCTGTGAATAAGCCCTTCAATATTTATTAAACAGATTTTGTAAAGATGCATTTATTCAAATTGAATAGTGGCAGGTGTTAAAGACTATCCATTCATGAGAAAAGTCAAAATGCCATTGACAACTTTAATCTCCTTAAAAGAGCATGTGGTGAAGTTCTTGTGTGACATGATTCAGCCTAACCTTGAATTTCTGTGAATTCCCCGTTTTGGGGTTCTTATTTCTGAAATGAGAAAGAGATGGTGACATGATTATAATATGACAGATCGATTAACAAATATCTAAATGTATTGGGTGTATACCGGAAAGTCATAATCCTTGAATCCTAAACCATATAAGGAAGGTAGAGATTAAAGCACTATCTACCTTGTTAGTTGACTTTGCTATCGATCCTCGCAATTCTTTATTATGTACAACAGGACACATCACAAAACTGCTAATTGGCAATAATCTGTTTGTCAATAGTTCACAAGACTGCAGAATTTAGATAAGGAAAGTTCAAGTTTAAAATACATTATCACAGCCCCACTATTCCTATGGGCTTTGCTCAGAATATTTTACAGTAAATTATTGATGTATGGTAGGTGGTACAAAAGGTGAGAGAGAAGGAAAACAAAGAGAGGAGGTGACATTAGTGTCCTGTCAATAGGAAGGTAAACTTTAAATGGACTCACTTGGAGAACACTGTACATCCTGGTAGGTGTATTGTAAAATTTAAACCACACACATATAGAAGTGCAATCCTTGTGAAATTATAAAAGAACTGTTAGATTATAGAATAGAGATTAGAAAATTTAAAGTTTGAAACAATGTATAAACATTAATTACCCTATTGTATTAACAAATGACTATGACTGATTTTCTTTCAACAGTATTTTAATCCATCCATCCATCCATCCATCCATCCATCCATCCATCCATCCATCCATCCATCCATCGTCCATCGCTTATCCGGCCAAAACCAAAACAAAGCTAAAAGGAGAAATACTGGGTTCATCAAGTGTCCGGAAACACAACTACTACTGCTACTTTCCCTAATACCATTGAAAACCAATGTATTGTTTATTTAATTGACGTTATTAAATGTATGTTTTTTTGACTTTGCATATAAATATACAATAAGTAGGCCTATGTTATTTATATATTTTGTTATAAGAGAATAAAACCAAACCATATGCAGATGATACTCAATTTATCTATTGATCAAGCCAGTTAGCTAAACTTCAAACATGTGATAAGGGCATAAAAATCTGGATGACAAACTTCAATTTAAAAACCTTCTCCTTATATACAAAGCCCTTAATGGTCAAGCAGCATCACATCGTAAAGAGCTATTAAGTTACCTTACTAGAACACTGTGTTCCCAGAATGCAGGGTTACTTGTGGTTCCTAAAGTCTCCAAAAGTTGAATGGGAACCTGAGCCTTCAACTCATCTGCTGTGAAATCATGTCCCAGTTTGGGTTTGGGAGGCAGACACCATCTCTACATTTATGAGTAGTTTTAAGACTTTCCTCTTTGACAAAGCTCAGGGCTAGTTATTGCTGGCTCAGGTGAGTCCTGAACCATCCTTTAGTTATGCTGCTATAGGCCTACTCTGCCAGGACTTCTGCTGATGCACTAAGCTCTTCTCGCCTCCTCTGCCTTTCCATCTGTATGCATTCTTATCCAATGAATGCATGTTATTAACTCAACTTTTTCTCTCTCCCATAGTTTTGTGCTTTCTTGTCTCTCTCCTCTTTCCTTCTGTTGCTTTCTGCAGGTATTTCTGCCTCCTGAAATGAGTTTGGATCTATGATTTAAAGCCACCTAGAGGCCCTGTGTTCCTGCTTGATACCTGCTGCTACAATTATTATTATTAGTGATATTATTATTAATGCAATCATTATTATTACTATTATTTTTTATTGATATTAATATTTCCGTGACCCTGCACGCAGGATAAGTAGTTGTCGATGGATGGATGGATGGATGATATTAATATCCTTACCATTACTATTACTTTAAATCTCTATGTGGAATTTGCATTTCCACTCAAAAATAGTACTGTACCCTTCTATGGGTTTGACCTTTTACTTTGCAGACTCAAACCCTTCTATGGTACCTAACAGATACCTAAACATATCCTATATAAGCTATGTTTGATGAACAGAGAAACAGAGTGGCCATTGGGCTGGGTCACTCTCCAAACTTCTGCAGAGCTTGTAATTGATGCTGAACTCCTTGATTTAATAAACTTTTATGATCAAGAACAGTGTCAAGCGGGTTTCCTCTCAACACATCATGGCAGCATTATTGTTCGGACACCACACCACCCAATCAGTGGAGGCAGTTGGCCACTCACCCTAAAGCTGATGATACACGGGGCAACTTTTTGAGCAATGTTGCTGGGCAATGTTGCTAGAGGCAAGTCCGATGATGTTTTGAACGGATAGCGGTGGGGCGGAGCAGCTGGCAGAGTGGGGGAAGGAGATTACGGTAGTATAATCTTTACACATTACCATTGACGGCAATGTTGCCCTACACGATTGCTATAAAAGTTGCTCTGTGTATCATCAGCTTAAAGCTGATGATGTGTATCACTTATCAACTTTTTGAGCAATGTTGCTAGCCAATCTTGCTGGTGGCAAGTCCCACTATGTTTTGAATGGACAGCAGTATGGTGGCGTGTCAGCAGGGGTGGGGGTGGGGGATTACGGTAGTAATCTTTACTCATTACCATTGACAGCAACATTGCTCTAAAAATTGCTCCGTGTATCATCAGCTTAAGTGTAGGTGCTGCTCCAGGTTTAAACCTGTTAAAAAGGGAGTTTTTCTTGCCACTGTCACCAAGTGCTTGCTCATGGTGGGAACTGTCGGGTCTCTGTAAATAATATTATAAGAGTAGCCTAATGTCTAGACCTGCTCTATATGAAAAGTGCCCTGAGATAACTTATGTTATGATTTGCCCAAAAACAAACCAAGCATTTTGTAGATCTAGCTAGCTATATTGTAGCCACGTTTAGCTCCTTTCTTTTGTTCTCCAGACCAGCAGAGCAAAAAACAAGTCATGCCCATTCCCGAGCTAACCACTTTCCCACTAGCTTCTGTAGGTTACCCATAGACTGCACATAAAAATGTTAACTCAACAGGTTTTCATTTTCATCAGCTTCTCTAAAAAGCTGTTTTTCTCCTTTTTATATACAGTCTATGGTTTTCTCTGAATTTTCTAAGCATGACATATCTACTACGGGCCAGTAAAATTTGAGTACCACAAAATTTGAGGTAATATTTGAAAACTACTTATTTCACTTGCAACACTACTACTCCTGTGAGGCCATGATAGCAGGTAAGACCTGTAACTTCATTAAAACAACATGGTGTTCTTACTTTAGGATCCACTATAGTAGCAGATACCCATTTAGCTGAGAATGCGAATAGGAAAACCGTGTGACAAGTTTCAGCTTTTCAGAAAGACAGATGTTGACGATGATAGAAATGCAGACGCTCAGGAACGGAGGCGGGATAGGATAGAGGCGTGATCTCGCTCGCGGACACAACATGCTAGCAGCGGAGTAATGTTGAAAAAAAAAAAGTGATTGGTGAAGAAAGTTGAACCCAGTCTATGGTTGAACCTTTAGCCAGGCAGAGATCCAGCCTTCCCCCACTCCTAATAGAATATCAAAACAGACAAAACGTCGGGAATAATAGCCTTAAGTTCTATAAAGCAGGTGGTGAACAAGAAATATCAGTTAGGATGCTCACTGCTAAGTGTAAGTAACTTACTGTAAGCTAACGTTAGCTAACAACTTGATAGAGAGAGGCATAACTGTGGGTTTGTCTGTCGTATAGTGATGAAAAAAACATTTAATGTAGTTACGTGTCATTTTTGCTGGCAAGACAAGTGACCCAACCTGTCACCACCATAATACTTACTAATACTAATATATACTATATATATGGGTGTTTCAATTACTTTGAATGGGAATGATCTTTAGGTGTACTAGGGCGATATATATGGCTTTTCTTGACTTTATTAATTGAAAACACATAGAATACCGTTTCTGCAATAAAATATAGTAAAAGAGCAAACTGAAGAGCTTTCAGCTGTGAGGGAGACCTCCACTAAACTCCAGTCCAGGTTTTTCGAGCAACACCTGCTAACCGAGAAATTCAATTAAGGACTCCTCTTCCCACTAGGAGCCGGTCTCCAGGGCAGATCTTCCGGGCGACTCGCCCTGTAAGAAATTAGAAAATGCTACAATAAAACCCGAAAAACTGAAAATAATGTGGCAACTTTAACAATGAAAGCTCTCACGCTATCCACCATAATCACACACGTCCCTTTAGTTGGAAGTCACCGAAAGACAGCGAAGTACCACAGGTAAGAGTTTTCCTTTTCCTCCCAACTACTGCAGGCTACACGCTCATTTCATTTCCAAACGTCATTCTCGACATAGTGCGACACCAAAGTGTTCCTCGCTGCAGCGGTAACACTGAAAACGAGCATTATTAAGCAGTTTTAAACTGTTAAGAAATGACACTGAAGGATAGAGACTTGATGTGGGGACTTGTCGGTAAACACTGTGCGACTCCCAGCCTCGATGCAGCGGCGGCAGCAGCGCCGACAGCAGAAGCAGGTCTGGAGCGACTCATACAGTCTGCTAGTGAACCTACTGTACCTTTGAAAATGCCGGCGAGAGCACCATCCTTTTCCTAAAACTTTGATAATTCACTCTACGGTCAAATTGAAAGCCGTCAAAGACCGGATGAAAATTGCAGGCGACCAAACGCTATCCCCGTTGCAAAGTTGAGACAGAAAGGTGCAACTTTTCTCCTCAGTCCGTACTTTTTGCTGAGTGTAGTCGAGCTGACATGCTCCTATTCCCGAAATATAAAACATAGAAGAGACAACGTGAAAACAGCACTCATATGAGGTAATTTATTAGTTATTAATCAGTTCAAACATACAATATAATGTCTGCCGACACTTCCCCAAAACTGCATAAACGACACAAATGAGCGACTTTTTGCGGCGACTTCAGCACTGAAAGTCCCAGTTTTTGTCGAGAAAAACTTAGTGAAACTTCTTTGGCTGCCCCTAAACAGGTAGTAGCCGTCACACAGTATCATTTACCGTAAATAGAGGAACTACTATAAATGCAATCAATATTCATAGTCTAAAATGCGGAAGTTCTGCTTTTGAAGATTGTTTGTAAACGACTTTTATAAAAGACTTTGCATGTGTACTAGGTTAATTGTGTCAGATAGCACTCAAAAATTATCTACTAATTAGTTTGCGTTTCAACAAGATATTGTGCATAAACAACTTCATAAATGTCACATTATTATTAAACGGTTTGGAAAACCATGACCATTGGTCGAAAATGTTGTGTCAACTGTTGGCAGATTATACATCTCTCTAACACAACACAGACACACTATTTGTTTGGTAAATATGATTTTTCTGCAGTTCCTGCTCTCAGTGGTTGTAAGGCAGGTTTTCTGACTTCCACCTACTGTAGAACAAACAGTCTGTTTGAAAACATTGCACGTAGTCTGCCTGTTTGGGTAGTTGTGATCTCAGCAAAACACCACTATGATGTGAGATTTAATATAACATGCTTTTGTAAAGGGTCACTGTTTGTTCTCTTTTGCATTTATAAATGTCTATGCTGCGTGCTTGCCAGTGTGTTTGTTATCATTCTCAGGGATGAAGATGAGGACAGGAATAGATCACTGGCACTTTAAACCCGGAGTTCTCATATTCTCGCCGGATCTTTCTCCTTTGCTAATTATTGTGTTGTTTTCAGAGCAAATATGTCATATCCATGGCGACCAGGCAGGTTTATTGTCTCTCCTGTGCAATAGCTCACAAAAGTAATTAATTATCCTTTTTTTTCTCCCTCTCTCCTGTCTTTGGTTAAACAGATCATTCATGGAAAGCCGTCTTCTATATTAAAGATGCCACAGCTAGTACAACACAAGGTAAACATGAAAGTTCTTTTCAATTTTACAGTTTTGATGTCCTTTTTGTGCTTTGATTTTGTTTGTCTTTCAAATCAACTGTAAATTTAAAAAAATGTATAATGTAAAAAGATGCAATATTCTCAGAGGGGGTGCTTTTGATATATTTTCCATAATACCCTCATAGTGCAGCAGCTGTGCAGCCTAACTGTTGCAGATGTATTCATGCATGCAAAGCAAGCACACACTTGACACTTAACAAGAGAACAGTCGAGCTTAAAAACACATGTTTAGACATGAAATCAGCTTCCATTTTGTTTGATTTCAATAGCATGCATTTGCCAGACTAAAAGTATTTTTACTTTAGTGATGTCTCTTTTATGAGGTCACCAAAAATGATAACCAACAGCAGGTGACACTACAGGGTACAATAGTTCACCTCAGTGCATTGCAGTTTTGTTTTTACGTTCACTTCTATACAGTCTGTCCAAAGAGAGCTGTAAAGTGATCAGTTGCAGCAGTTTCCAGCTCTTCATCCTGTGTGCTCCCTCAGAGTAACTGGAATGTAACGGCATGTGTCTGCTGTCCAGCGGTCCATCTTCAGCTGGACACCAGCCAGCCTTCACTGTCAGACTGGTGGTACAGGTTCTCATCTCTCTTTGGCATTGATGAGACACTGCAATATCCATCTGTCAAACACACTGCCCTTCTACCCTCTGATTTCGCTCGCTCTCTGCCTTTCTTCTTTCATAATTTTTCACCGTCACTACAAGTGAAAGTAGAGCTGGGTAGATCTCCTGAGCAGAGAAAGCAGAGATGCTAATTGTCCATTTGTGCTGTTTTAATTGTGATTTGGTTTGTGTGTTTAGTTCAGTGTTTATGGCTGTGGTCCTCTCGGCCTTTTGATTGTGTCTCTCTCTGTCTCTCTCACTTGAAATGTTGCTTGTAGTGCTATGCTCCTAGTTCACTCGACTGGTTGAGAATCTCATTGGTTAATCAGTGTGCGATGCCTCCAACATTCTTATTTCCTGCAGCCCTATCAGTCAGTGAAATGCCTCATGTCTCATAAGTACCCATCTGCATCTGTCAAGGGGTGTGTAGAATTAAACCCATGTGTATTCCTTTTCTGTTTGACCTTGACTGCGGACCTCAGGTCTTTGAAGTCAAATAAGCGTCAGTAATCCCAGGCTGCGTTTGACAGGCTTCAGGAGCCATTACTTTTGCTTCCCAGCTCATAAGCTTTATCAATTTCCCTATGTGTAATGATTTTGTATACAAATTCACACTACTACAACCATAGTGTTGTGCCTTGTAAAAATATACTGCCTTCAACACATACTGTTATACTAGCACAAATAGCACACATGTTTTTTTAATCATCATTATTGTTTTTATTTTAGTGCTAAGGAAATGTCCTTTTTGCATGCTTGATCAGCCAGTAGAGAAATCCAATATAATGGAGGTTCAAGGTGAATTGCATCCAGTGCATTTCCCCTCTTCGACTGAAGGAATATTCCCGAGCAAAATAAACAAATCACACAGACAACAGTATTATAGGGTAGATTTTGAAGGCATGAAATAAGTATCGATTAAATCCTGCAGTTCATAGATGAAAATGGCCTTTTTGGTAATTTGTCCTGGGTCCTTTCAATACGATGAAGAAAGAGAGAGAGGCATGGGCGGGGGGGGGGACTGCAGAAAAGGTGGAGAGGAATAAGACAAGTGAACAGTGAGAAAGACAGAGAAGAGCTTTTGCAGAGACATGCTGCCCCTTTCCGAGCTCATTATCATTCTTAATAAGTCTTAAGGAAAGAAGGAGCATTGAGTGTAAATGCACGGTAATCCTTACACCCGCCAAGGTTAGTAGGGACGTCAGCACATGTGCACGGTTCCCAGCTGGCCACTTTGGGACAGGGAGGGGACCAGAGGAGCACAGTTAAGGATAGATGTTCAAGGAGAAAGTGAGGACGTTTAGACACTGTATAAAGGTTAGGCCCTTTCCTCCAGCCTGTAGCTTTTCAGTGCAGGCACCACCTGGCATTTAGTGAGTAAACAGTTCTGCATCAGATTAAAAACATTTGGCCATAAGACGTGGTGTAGGCTATAATAATTCAGAAGACAAACTAGGAAATGACAGTTTCCTAGGAGTCCAAAGCTTGATTAAAACATCTAAATAGAACAGTTTTGACTCTGGCACTATTCACCACAAGGGATTCAGTCCTGTACCCAAAGTAGCTGTTGGCTGCAGTGCATGCCTAATTCACCGTTCTTTGGGTGTGGTCCAAAAACAAGCATTAAGATGAATTGGACGAACTGATGACCAATTAACTAATTTGACAAATTTCCAGGCACTTGTATTGTTTGGTCAACCACGTTACTTTAACAGAAATCCAATGCAGTATTTATTTATATACTATACTATGTTTACCATCCAGTGTTGTGTCACCCTATACACTCTACAGTGTTAGTAGTATTATAGCGTTCCTGTTCATTAATCAGATTAGATGTGAGACATGTCTGGCACATTAATCTTAGTCCACAGTGAAACCACAGCAGAAGGTGATTTTATACTTCCAGTAATTAGTAGAGTGAGTGTTTTTTTTAACTGTACACATTGCTATCAAAGCATGATACTTGTGTGTAAAACTGTATGCATGTTTAATGAATGATTAACGTCAAAAGTCCACAGACTCTCGCTATGACGCGTTATGGCTGCGCCACGGTTCTGATCCGTTGATAGCCCGGCGGCAACATCCACTTGAAGCATTTCAGAAGCGTTTCAGCAGCGGACTGTGAAGCCTGCCCCATGTTATTGACTTGTTATTAATTTGTCGTTTTTGTGCTTCTGCTACATTCTTCACAGCTCGCTGTGACCCTGTTTCGTTCCGTCGTTTGCAGGCTGCATTTCACACAAGAAGCATTTCAGAATCAGAGCATTTTGCCTGCCTGACGTTTAGATTTTGTTGATTTGGTAATCAGTGTTTGCTTTTTGTGCCACTACTATGATTAGGTAGGCTACATAGTTAAATGATTTATTTTTGTGCCTGTTTAACGTATTTATTGTTTTTTTATGATCGGGAGTCTCCACAAGGTGTTTTATTTTGAAAATTGAACGGATTCTCTATGCCGTTCTGTGTCTGACTTCCTGCCTGGTTCGATCTGCTGTGTGCTGCTTGAGGCGACTAGCGTCAAAAATAGACCTGCTACCTATTCTCTGCGGCACGAAGCAGAGAACCGCTTCTAGGACGCGCTGGGTCTGCGCCTGGTGGACTTGGCCGCGATTAGCACTGGCAACAGCGGGGCAGCCGTAATGCGCCAGAGTCAGTGGACTTTAGGCGTTAGGTGTGTATCTCATAAAGACACCATCTCTGTTGGATATTGAACTCACTAAAGAGTCGGCTACTACAACTGTGATACAAGTTCCCAAAACAGTCTGTAAACAACTGAAATTGATTCCCTTTCCTAAGCGCTGTTAACTGGAATGGAATCATGATTTGATTAAAAGTCCAATTTTTTGATTCAGAATTGATTCTTGAATTCAAAATTGATTCTTCATTACAAATTAACTCTCAGTTCAATTCATAGAAAAGGCCCTATTGTCCAGCTCTTAATTCAGTGCACTGTGTGCACTCATGTTTTTAGTCCATTGAATTGCCAAGTGAAACATAGTTTGCTGGTCTCATTTAAGGTCTCTGTCTGACTAACAGGAAAAAGCAAGTGCTATAATTTGGAAGCATGTTACAGTTTTCTGCTTGTGTGAGAATAATTAAATGAAAGTGCAATTTACTGATTACTGCTAGAATATCTTTTGAAAAACAAAAGCAGTGCACTCACCTATTCCTACTGTTATGTCTCCAGAACTGTCTGCTGCAACAGTAGTAACAGGGAAACCCGTCATTATCCACAAAGCTGTACAAGCACAGGTCTTATGAAACAGGTCATGGATGGTGTTATTTTCTTTCCCCCATCAAAGTTGGCTACAAGTTTTGTAAAGTGGTGCAGTGTGTGTTGGTTAGCTAGTTCATTTGCCACTGCTGGAGTTTTGCTTCTCCACTTTGCTATCGTGGGTGTTTGCATCTGGCAAAGCTAATTATTAAGTTATTAAATCGAAACTGAGCCCAAACACTTCTTGTTCTTGTTCTTTGAAGAACTACAAGATAACTGTTGCGAGTGTGTACTGTACATCTTCCGGGTGCCGCACTGTGTCCCCGCGGTAGGGTTCTGTGTTTTTCTTTCCATCAGTATAATGTTGTTAACGATGTGCAAAAATAAATTTTTGGAATCTGTAAATTGGGGTGACAAATTATCACTAAAATATTTTCACCTTCTGAAAAAGTTGTCTTGAAGCCACTTAGGCGTGTTACCAGAAAATCTTAATTTTCACACAGATATTTTTGTTGTTTAAATATAAGATAACATTTTGGGATCTACAAACCAAATTGACTGTTGGAAGAGAATTCGTGTCCTTCTTTAGTCTCCAGCTTTATACTGCGGGTGCATTTGAATCTTGATGATGCCTCCGACGATCCTCTTGGGAATATGTTTGCTTAATTGTCCAAGAAGGGGACAACAATTAAATAAGCAAATGAAATTGGAGCTGCTGGTATAGTGGGGGTGCCCTTTTGTCTTGCTCAGTGTAATGCCATGTCTGTGCCTTTCTGTCATGTAAAGATGATTTACCCAGAGACAGATGTTCATAGACCTTTGCTCATGAACTCGTACCAGTTTGTTCTATTTTCTGCCATTTTAAAGGTTAAGGAGTGAAATGTTTTCCCTGCAACGTGTCAGGCACTTTTGATTGCTGTGGTGTCAGTTGCTCTGTTCCCCTGTATGTTGAGTTAAGAGGCTGCACTGGTAGTTGACTTAACTTTGACTGGGCTGAAAAATATTGCCATGTTACACATGGAAGATGCTTTTTGGAACATCTCTTCATTATTCTCTTAATTTCACTGCATTTTGGTTGAGGCTTGTTTATTAAGCCACTCCATTAATGCCCCCTCCACCCCCCACCACCAACCCTC